TTCGGCGAGCCTCCTTGCCTTGGTGAGCCCTTTCCTCCCACGACGGCCGATCGTTTGGCGACCGCTTCAATCGTTGGCCTGATTGCTGCCTCCTTCCATCCGTCCTCTCTAAGCATTTGTGTAATTTCGCGCAGGATCTCTTCATCTAATACTCCTGCCTGGTTCTTGGCAGCAGCGTACGCCGCCAGCTCTTCCACATTCAAGTTTGGAACGTTAATCTCCATTGCCTAATTCGTTTTGGACGTCTCGTTCTTTGCCTGCTAATATGCAGGGCTTCCGGTCGCTCTTCGATCCGCTTGCGCAGTCCTTAACTGCGGCCTACTCCTCGTTGGTGAGGACTAGTAGGGCTTACCTTTGGCCGTACTTCTCTTCTAGCTGGTTCTGAACAGCGTTTGGCTGCTGTCGTGTCGCGTCCCTAGGAAGACTCGCGTCTTGCCGTCTCGCTCGTGGGATCTCGTCTCCGATTGAGAGTAATCGCACGGCCTGCACCCCGTCCGATAGAGGATTGACAGGACTTCTTACTACAACGTCCGCTTCTAGCTAACTGTACGCTAGGCCCGAGTGGCCTTTAGGTAGTTTATCACGCGACGTTGCGCCTACGGCTCGGCTTTCCAAGACATGGTAGGACTTCCTAGACAGGTCCCGGGCGACTAAATCGCCTACTGTCTCTCACGGCTGAACTTCCTGCGAAGCTCTGCCCTAGGTGTACTGTCTTGCGACGGTCTACCTTCTCGCTGCACTGAAGGCCTTTCGTACCTATTGCAGCACCAACTCTATGTTACTAGCTCGCACTAACAACACGCTCTAAAACTTAGTTAGAAGATAGTCCGCCTAAGGCTTATGTCTAATTGGGATTGAATACAAAATGTAAGAGGCTGCGCTCTAGGGAGCAATTGCGAGGTATACAAGAGGTTGTATTTGATAAGGAGCTATCTACTCTGCTTACGTGGTGTTTATTTACTTATTAGAGAAAGGTTATGCCGGAGTATCTGAGCGCGTTGTCTGAGCGCTGCTCGGTCTGAACGTAGTTCAGATGGTGCGCGCGCAGCTTGGCCCGAGATTCCATCGAGGAGCTATCCAAAGGGCGTTCAGCCCGTTACACTAACGTTATAGACTACTTGCTTAACGCTATATATATAAAAAGAGTTATAATTATATAAAAAGACTTCTAGCTGTTTAAGCACTATAGTAAGAAGTATTCTATAAGAGGCTAGTAGTAGTAATAAGAAAGTAGAATTCTAGTAGAGTACACTTATGTAACGGGCTGAACGCCCTTCGCCTCCCATACTCGTCTACGACCTCGTTTACTCCACCTGCCCGGCCCGACTGTTACCCTAGCAACCAGCATTGTATATAGATAGCTACGTAGCCGAGAGCTTAGCTCTCTATCGAATACAATCTTGTTACCTTGGCCTGTCCGATCGTGCTCCCGAGCTTAAGACTACCCTCCGGGGTCGAGCCCCTTACAACTTATATAATAGTAAATAAAACTTAATTCTATAAGAATAATATTAATATTAAAGCTTAGTGTAAAGTAGTAGTAGGCGTAAGAGAACGTAATTAATATCTATAATAAAATAAGACTTTAACCTAGCATAACCTAATAGTTATATACTTAACTCTACCTTTACTTAGGTCTTAGCTAACCTAACTCTACCTCTACCTAAGTCTTAGCTAACCTAACTCTACTTTTATCTAAGTCTTAGTAACTCTACTCTTACTTATGCTAAAGAACCTTAGCGTAGGTAAGAGTAAGGGTAGGGCTAGGTATTATATAAGCTAACCCTACCCCTACCCTACCCCTACCTATTCGCCAGTCTAGCAAAGAGTAGTATAACTATTAAGTTTCTAGATTTTAGGCTCTTACGTTCTAAGTAATTAAATTTTAAGTTATATAGTAGTAGTAGGTTATAATAATAGTAGAGTAGTAGTAGTAAGTAACTTATATAAGCTTCTTTCTTATATATAAAATATTACTTCTTTTATAATATATCTTTTCTACTACTTATACTATTAACTTAGAAGCTTTATCATATTAGTAAGACTTATAAAGTGTAAACGTAATTGCGCTATTATATAGTATAAGTGCATTAAAGAATTTTAATTAATCTATGTATACGTAATATTACTTAGTATATTAATTACGTTTTATTATAGCTAGTACTTAAGATAAGCTTCTTACGCCTATTATTAGCGCGTGAAATTTAATAAAAACACTAATAATAATCCCTAAATTAATACACAAAAGGCCGCGGCTAGTGAAGTAGATATTATAACTACTATCTAGCTATTAGTTACGGTCTCAAGTATGCCATGCTTAGAATTATAGCAGCCTAGACTACTTACGCAGTTGACGAAAATTGCTGAATTAGGCTATTAGTGAATAGTTTGGAATAATTGTGCGTGAGGTAGAACTGCGTTGCCTCATAATATGGAAATACATTACCTTAACACTTGGGTATCACGTGCGTTTATATCACGCATTTTCGATGCATCATTCTTCTATAGCCTTATTATCCAAAGGTTATTAACCAGCACAATAAAAGTCGTCAGCAAACCTCTAGCAAGCAATTTGGTGCGAGGCTTATCGGCAATGTCAATTAGGGAGATGCTAATATACCTTTACTCTTTTGTATGCGGATTAAGACCGCCCTTTAGATTGCTCTTCAAGTCTATTAGCTGAATATGTATTAGGTAAACCGTTTTGTATAGACACTTCTAAACGTATTATTGTCATCTATTTAAAAACGACGGCAGCACCATAGAAGAGTCCAAGGCACTTATAAACACAGCCTTTACTGGATTATAGGGGAAGACATTTGCTCTCCACTACCTAGTGGCCAGTCTATAGTCTAGAGGAGGATAGTATCATCATTTCGCAGTGCTATATAGGCCATCTTCTAGGTTTGTACTGTAATAATACCCGCTGAAAAACCATCAACCTACTCACGATAGTGCTCTGACTCGTTTCTAGAACAGCTGACTCTTGTCTTTCCAATTATAGATTCAGTACTTAGCCAATGTACAATCTACCCAGTTTCATCCCTAATTCCGTCCTGGTACGTCCACTAACCCCGAAATCGAAATAAGGGTATGACATGTCGTGACATGCGGTCCTAAATGACTGCGAGCATTCACGAGTATCATCTCAATGTAGGATATATCGCAACATGAAATATCCAGCCATTCGTGTCTGGGGCGGCCAGCTGTCACGGGGTTCTCAAAAATAGCAGCAGCAGCAGCATCATCACAGCCGCATGACGCCGTTAACTCCGATCAACCTCAGGCAAGCTGAACGAGGCCCCCCCTCATCCACACGCACTCCCTCCCGCCGCGCCAACGTAGCATGTCGCATATTTTGTTTTCGCGGACGCCCTCGCTGCGCAGCGTTGCGCAGCGCAGCATTGTGCGTCAGAGCCGGGCTTCCTACCACCACCAGTCGGCGCCCAAGATGGCGTCAGGCGCAGCGCCCATCCGCACGCTACTCCGGCAGACGACGCTGCGGGCCAGCGCCATAGCAGCACAGCGCACGTCATACCCCGCGTCGCAGCAATTCTCCACGCAAACCTACACACAGTCGCGGTCGCCATCGCCGCCCCCGCCGTACCACGCGCGCAACACATCGGTGCTTGCGGCGCCGAACCAGTGGACCCGCTTCAACAACAGCCCGTACAACTCGCTGTCGTCTGTCCGCACATTCACGGCGAGTGCGCGCGGGAAGCTCGCTGCGTCGACGTCGGAATCTCCATCGTCGCTGTCGCCCGAGGCGCAGCAGGCGGTGGACGAGGTGATTGAGGAAATCCAGGAATTGTATGGCACGGCCAAGGACGAGTTTGAGATTGCGTCTGAAGAGAGCGAGAAGAACACGACGTATGCGGCTGATGATCGGGCTGCTGCGAGGGAAGAGCTGGATCGCCTGTTGACGTATTACAAGGGTGTTGTCGAGGGCGAGGATCGCGTGGTTGCGGATGAGGTCAAGAGAAGGGTTGGGCAGAGAATTCGCGAGCTCGAGCATGCGGTGCTGGCCATGGAGGAGGCGGCGACACATGGCGACTAGCTGGGAATATTGCACTCACAATACCCTCCAACCATAGCCTTTTTCAGTCATCTCATGTATCATACCATAGGCGTCAGCTCGTATATAGAAAGAAACATGTCATCAGGCATAGCGTTATATTCCCTAGCTACCCTCACCAAATGTGCCGTGTAATCAATCCCAAACGCCAGGCATCCCGCGTATACTCATGTGCTTTAGTCAAACCCCTTGTTCATGACTTGGACAAACGCTCAAACTCGGGAAAGGGATGACGGGGCCGTCTGTCCTGGCCGCCATGCAGGATAGCATCGAGCTCGTCTCTAAATTTAGTCGAGTTGGAGCGTGTGGCATCCATGTCTTTTGGTCGGCTGGTCAGCTCCCAGTCGCTCTTGTGCTTCTTTTCGTCCATCTCTTCCTTGAGAATCTCAACTTGCTTCTTGATCTCGACCCACAGTTCCAGCTTGTCAAATTCTGAAGCCGGCTCCACGTCAGAACCACCCAAGTTGTCTCTCCGCCCAAAATTGGCATGAAGAGTACCAGTAGCGAGCTTCATTGGGTCCTGAGGACCCGCCCACCTCGCTGCCTCCCGCTCCGCTTCCGCAGTGCTCTTACCTCCCCGTGCAGCAATGGCCAAAAGTGCCGCAACAAAAGCCTCTTGCATGTACGCAAACGAAAACTTGGCAGTAATCTCTGCAATCTTGTCACAAAGCTCATCGGGAAACTCAAGGCTCTTGTTATCCTTGAGCTTGTTTTGCCAGAACTTGGCATACTGAACACGCTGCTCGTAGTCGGGATCTGAAAAGTAGTACTTGCGGTCAAAGCGACTGGGGCGCTTTGAGATGCCAGGGTCCAGTCTGTCGAGGTGGTTGGTTGAGCCCACCATGAGGATGCCGTCGTTGGACTTGAGGCCGTCTACTTCGTTGAGAAAGTAGGACCGCACGTGGTCGTTGACAATCGAATCAAGATCCTCAAAGACGAGATAGCAGGGGGCAGCTTCGCGGGCTTTGCCAAAGATGGCCTTCAAAGAGTATTCAGGACCAGCAAACGAGCTGAGCGAGCGGACGTAGAGCGTGGGCACAGAGAGCCTAGAGTCGCCATTGGTGCCGCGCTGGTACAGACTGTGCATCATGGCCTTGATGCTGATCGTCTTGCCGTTTCCTGGAGGGCCATAGTAGATGACGCCACGCTTCCAGGGCACCTTCAGGTCCTCATACGTCTTGCGGCCGTCAAAGAAGTTTTCGACGTCGTCGATGAGTGCCTTCTTCATGTCCTCGTCGAGGATGACATTGTCCCACGAGGCCTTTTGTACAGAGTTGTACAGCTCGGCACTCTTCTCCCAGTAGCCGCCGTCAAAGACCCAGACCTCGTCATGCAGCTCGGAGCCCCACGTCGTCGCCTCCTTGATCAGCTCGTCCACCTTGTGCTCCGCATTGGACAGGATGTAGTAGAGGGTAGGGGCTGGATACGCGCCCGAGCCGTCGCGCCCTTCTGCGAGGTAGACTATGGCCTCCTGGTCCTTCCACTTGTACATGTATTTGCCAAAGATGACGCGCTCGACCATGGTGCCGGGGCGGGGATCCAGGCGCCTCGCCGAGGGGACATAGAAGCGCTGCTTGACGCCGGGACCGTAGACGGGATCTTTGACGACATCCTCGAGAGGCGTGGCGGTGGCAAAGCCGGCCGAGGCATATGCGAGCAGGTTGAGCCTGCCCTGGGGCGCGACGATGAGGTCGAGGTTGGGGTACTGGGTGCGAATAGCCTCAATGAGCACGGCATCCGTGTTGACGCGCTTGCCCGACGAATGGTCAAAGTACGAGATGCTCGCCATGTCCGCGTTTCCAGCCATGGCGATGAGTAAAGCGCTCGGTGGTGAGCGTGTTCGGGGCGTTGGTGTTGTTCAGTATGGCAGGACAGACGGCAAACTGACGTCGCCGGAGCTCCAGGCAGCTACTGGCAGCTTCCCCACGCTCCACTCAGCGCGGATCCACACGCGCACTTGCCCCCCATCCGAGACCCGCCTCAACACCATCGCTCACATTGCCATTGCCATCGCCATTGCCATCCTCAGAGCGCCCGCTTCGAGTCTCGTCTTGTTTCTCCATCGGCCGACAGCCGCCGCCGTGTTGCTGTTATTTCCGCCTGCTCGCTCCCGGCCATAACCACCCATGCTGCCGTCGTAGCGACATGCGCCAAGTTGCTACCAAGCCGGGAACGAGTGACAAGAAACGCCACGTCTGGCCCCGGACTCCTTGTTGCGACGTCCTCGACGGCTTTGGGCCTGCAGCGGCTTAGTGTGTACATGACGAGAGCACCCGTCTCCTACCTGCGCAGAGGCCGTCTCCCGCCTCTGCAGTCGGCCCTCGAAACAATACCGGCATGTGCAGGACTCTGCCAGAGCCCCTTTGTGCGATAAAGCAGTTCAAACTTTGTCTCAGCTGAGTGTCGTGAGAACAGAAAACCATGGCTTACTCAGACCACTCAATATTCCAGGGTAGCAATGCCGACCTCGGTTGTCAAGCTATACGGACCATCGGAGGCTATTGGAGCATGTGGGCAGGGTTCCGTAGGGCCGCCCGAATGCGAGCACGAGTCCTCTGGCCACGTCGAAACCGCACCCGTGGGCTTCTGTCGATTGTCTTGTTTCCAGCGTGGCGGCCTATTGTGGCTCGCTCTCGCGCAGGGACAAAGCGGAGTCCCCAGATTTGTCTCTCCACAACCCAGGTGGACCCTACTTCCTCGTTTCCGAATCTGTGTCTGCACGGGTCGGGGCTCCCATAGTCGTCTCACTGGAGCGGACCAGGTCCAGCGTGCCGCGTCTCACGGCTCAACTAGCCAGCATTGCCTGTAGGCCATCATCTACATGCGGCTCTGTAGCAATGCACGGCACCCGCTCAACGTGTCGAGGGGGTAATAAGCAACGCACTTTAGCCTGTCTCATACAAATGTCGACAGCGTGCGAACAGGGACCTGTCTGTACCGCAGCCCAGCAGTTCAGCACTCGGCACTCGGCATGCACCACTCATTATTCAGCACATTTCAGCAGAAGATAGTTGTTGATGCCAATTGTTGAGGCCATGGCCAAGACCACCAAAATACCATGCAACGACTCGAGTCCGACATTAGCCTAAATGGCTCATGGATGGCGCAAGGCCGGGCAGTCTCACGCAGCCATCTGCATGTTTACAGTAATCGATAGCAGTAATACCCCCAAAGGCTGGCCAGAATGTTTGCATGCGCGTCTGTCGTCGCACCGCCAACGGAGACGGGACAGCGGGACGCAGGTCGAAATAACATGACACCCTACCCCCGCTGGTCCGGGGGGTGCAACAGCCAACGAGCGTCTCAACCGTGCCACCACCAGTGCATTAACTGTTTCCCACATTCTGGGGGTCCGTGGGCTTTCGATTCGTCGCTCCAGAAGCGCAGCAGACTGAAAGGTCGAGTTTTTGGGACTAGATGGCCATCGGATGGATTGCCGCGGCGGTGTGCCCATTGGCTGCAGCCGGCTGTGCGGTGTCATGATAATGGAAAATGCCGGACATGTCGCCGAGTTTCTTGGACAAAGCTTAGCCGCCAGACATCACGCACAATGCCATCAGCGCGTTCGTTCCGCGGCGTTTAACACGCAATGGGCCGATGGGAGAGGGGTGTTTCCTCGCAAATTGCGTGCGCAGGGGGGCAAAAGCAATGTCTGTATTCAACACGGCCAAAACCACGCCAGAATGGTCGCGCGACAGCAGCAGTAGCAGCTGCAAGCCGCTTGCTATCATGCCCAGCCTCAACCGCGACATCCGGCATCCCACCGCACCCAGTCACACACTGCTCAAGGAACGTCTGTCCGCTCTTTATGCTCGAGCGCCTGGTCAAGACGGCCTTGCGTCTAACTCGTCTAAGCAATTGGAGCGTGTGTGCGCAAACTCCACCTTTAGGCGCTTTTTTTGCAAGGGGCCCTCTTCCGTACAGGGTAAACGTGCAGTCAGACCGCCCGCGCGCAAATCACTAGGCACACCGTGTGGTATTCCTTCCATTTCACCATCCGTCTTGGTGTCAAAGATTGCGCTCGCACTCGGGGAAAAAAAAGAGAGGGAAAAACTCTACACCTATGCATGCGCACGCTGTCACGCCAATGTCACGAGTGGTTATGATGTAATGCTTGGGGTGCTTGGGACTTGGAGACAATGCCAATTCTCCGCGTCATCACAGCATCAAGGCGTCCCTCTAAATGCGACACACGACAGTTGGGTCGGCTGGCGCACCAATGGTCGGTGTTGCTTGTTGGCCTCTATCCATCTTCGCTAACATGGCCTTTTGGTGCCGATCTCACGCCGCTGCTGGCTTCGATTCGACGGCTGGTCGTTCCTCCGCCCACCGTGCCCTCAGCGGGCTGGCCATCAGTGGAGACATGTGCTGCCCTTTTACCCGGCCTGCAGAGGCGTCTATGGGGAACCGCCATGGGTGGTCCACTTTTGCACTTGTTTGGACTCTTATTACCAACCCTTGGTTGCGGGGCTAGGGCCCGTAAGGGGACGATGGGCTCATGGCGCACGTCGACACGCCATGCTCACCCTGGTGATGCTGGTCTGGACATATAATGACCCTCTCCGCTCCTCGCCCCATCCTGACCTTGCCCTCCCTTCCCCAGACTCTCTCCACCAAATCCACGAGTTAGTCCGGCCAATCAGCACGCCAAATCTCCGTCACCCATACTCGACATCATGGCGACGGCTCGTGAGCACAACAACGCCGACGTAGGTTGCCCTTCCCACTGCGCGACGCTTCATGACTCTAATCATACCTGGTACAGCGCGGCGCGAGCTTTGAAAAGAACATTAATGAGACGAGTGCGACCGACCATGCGGCTGGACCCAATGGCGGTGCCAAGCAGAGGGTCCCCTATGACTATGGCGGCAACCCTCTCGCCCACGTTGCTACCAACGACCCGGATCTCCGCCTGGCTGCCTTTGGCGGGGAATTCCAACCTGGGCTATACCGACCCCCGAACCGCAAGTTTGCCAACCCAGCTCCCCTGGGTCTCTCGGCTTTTGCCCTGACCACCTTTGTCCTGTCCCTCATCAACGTGCGCACCCGTCACATTGGTGAGCCAAGCATTGTCGTCGCCATTGCCTACGGTTATGGCGGTCTTGTTCAGCTCCTGGCTGGCATGTGGTACGTTGCTACTCTACAATGTGCTCAAAGTCGTCTTCTAACAGGCAGCTAGGGAAATGGCTGTCGGCAACACTTTTGGTGCTACTGCTCTCTCGTCCTATGGAGGATTTTGGATCGCTTTCGGCATCATCCTCACTCCTGGTGGATTCCAGATTGAGGAGACTCTTGTCGCAAAGGGCGACTTTTTCAACTCGTTTGGTCTCTTCCTCATGGGCTGGTTCATCTTCACCTTCCTCCTGCTCCTCTGCACCTTGCGATCCACGGTAGCCTTCTTCTTCCTCTTCTTCACTCTCGACATGGCATTCCTGCTCCTCGGCATTGGATACCTCAACGCCGACGCTGCAGGCCCACAGGGCGACTGCATTATTGCTGGTGGAGCTTTTGGTCTCATGGCTGCTTTTGCTGCTTGGTATAACGCCCTTGCCGGTATCGCCGACAGTTCGAACAGGTACGTTTTGTTTGTGATTGGTTTTGAAGCAGCATGCTAATTCATAATACAGCTTCTTTGTTATCCCTGTTGCCCACTTCCCCTGGTCGGAGAAGGGTCGTGAGCGTCGCCAGAAGGTCGACAACTCGATTGCTCGTGCCGAAGCTGGCCACACCGCTTAATGCAGCATGTTGTACGCTGTTATGTAAATGTCCAGGATATGTGCTTGCTTGTAAGCATACGACATAATATGGGAAAAGGGCCCAATGTATCATGGATAAATGGGCTTCTTATTGCGCGCACCAAGGGGGAAGATGTGCATCAGGGCATGACATGGATCATTGTCGTTGAGTCACGGCGATGATATAATTTTTTAATATCTACTTTTCCAATACCCAATCTTGAAGATTTATTTTCTGAAATTGTGTTGGATTGTATAACAAAACGCCGGGGGTGTTCATCAGTCATAGGCAGATTGACAGCAAGGCGCGTGTAGGGAGTATCCCAGCCAAGCACGTGTAGAATTTCCCCTCCCGCACCTGAACCTGGCTCCCTCCCTCGCACTCGCAGTCCCGCACCTAGATTTTACACGCAGCAATCTACATCACTCCATCAGCACGACACATACACACTAAAATAACACGCCACATGTAAACACGCCACACACACGTCTAGGCGGTCCAGTGACGTGCGCCATGGCCTTGTGTCTTCTTGGCCCCCAAGCACATGGGCCTCGCCGACTTTTATTTTTTTTTCGTTCCATTCGCCCGTTAACCGCTTTCCCCCGGATTTGCATGCCCAGCTGGGCTGAGCGGCGCTGAGCTGCGCCTGTCAGCTAGGTCGGCTGGGCTGAAGTCAGAGGCGCTGGTTTTACACACACACAAATGCACCTACGCAACTTTGATGCTCACGCCATCATCGTGTGTGATTGTGATGATTGAGCATGGAGTAGTGCTGTGAGGATGCCGGGGGTATGCGTACTGTTGAGAGAGAGATAGCTGTGCATGATATGATGTGGAAGCATGAGTCGCACGCGTAATTGCGGTTGCGTGTTATTGTGTAGTTAGTTATAGTACATACATGGTTTTATTCCTCTGGGTGATTGAATCCTGCGAACTTTGTAATTGGTATTACAGTTGTAATGTTTTGTACTCTTCGAATCTTATACTCGATTGAATATCAAAGTACAGAGTAGAGGTGTTTTCTAAGAGTAATAAGAACAAGTATGGTAAATAAGGAAAAACAATGGTTGGAATAGTATCAATGTCAAGATAAATATCACAAGTATACGACTAAACTGTTTTCTGGACTGACTAGCAAGTGTACAATACCTTTTCGCACCTTGTAGCTTTCTCGTAGGCATCGAACCAGTAGAACAGCTACGTACCGTACCTTGGCCAAGTCTTAGCAACCCTACACCTACCCCCACTCTACCTATTCGCCACCCTAAATACCATGTCGACACCATCAAAGACTGAAAGCAAATATCTCCGAGATGGAGGTGAAACTACGTCCCATGAGGATTTACAGTCCCAAGGTCAAGAAGGAAGGTAGAAACTTGCATATTCCTCCACTTTGCAATCCACGATGATGCATGTCTTTTTCATAGATGAGTCTTCCGTGGCTCGCGCCTACGCATACACTTGACGTACCGGATATTGCACTTCAGTCACTAATTCCAGTTTCTCCCTCTCTCTCAGCGCTCCCATCTCCCTACATTGCGTATTTCTCCGTCCACTCCTTGGCCGTCTGCCAATACACGTCGCGCCTCTCTCGCCACTCATGCCCAATCTCCGGTACAATCTCGCATCCAGGGCGTGGATCCGGTGCGCTAAGCAGACTGCTCAACATGATGAGAATCTTATCCATGTGCCACGCAGGCGACCATTCTTCGTTTGCTGGGCTCCACGCAATGGTGCCGCTGTTGCTGTCGATGTTTGGGTGGTAGATTTTCGTGCGGAAGTGAATGGCTGGTGCGGCAAAGGGGAAGTCGTCTGGAAAGGATACATCGAGTTTGAAGTTTCCCGTCTCGTAGGGCGAGTCTTTGGGGCCGCGGAGTGTGATGACCCATTTTTTGGGTCGGAGTCTTGCAGTTGTGCAGAGAAGTCGTCGCCGTTCTGGTTGACGAGGGCGAACTGGGTTTGGAGGTTCTTTTCGCGTGCACTCATTGAGAATGGAAGCCGGTACGAGGAATGATGCGTGTTTGTTTTGATAGAAAGCTAGGAAGGGATGCTTTACCTCAGACAGCAGGAGCAGGAATGTACGTTACATGTTGGTGAGTGATATAGCCGTGACGTATGTCAGAAATATGGCTTGAGTCTATTGATTGTTGCAATAAGCGACAATCGGCATCCAGCGACTCTCAGCCTGCAGGTCTTGTAACATTATTGAATATATCCCACGATAGGACACAGAGGAAGAAAAGCGTCTATTGCGTGTCCTGGTACTAAAGGCTCCAACACCGCTTAGCACTGCTGTCTGCGTAAATGTCAATATCTTCATGGACAATAGAGATGACCGCTTAAAGTGCTTTTGAAAGTTGAGATGCAATCAATAGGAATGTATTCTAAATTGTTGGTAGCTATGTAGGCTATGTATTGAATCCACCATTAGTACCATGCTCGCCACAAGTCACATGGTCCAACTAGCTTGCACTGCCACGCCCCAGCCACAAACAGATTAGTAACTGAATCGACTTGTAGATTTCTTCAGAGATGACATCAAAAAGCAGCTAGAAAAGATATACGAGCCAAAAAAAAATCAAAAAACATGCAACAGCGACGATTCGCCAGTGGTCACCCACCTGACTACTGAGTCGCCGGTAAACTGCTTGTGTAGGCCAGATCTAACGGGATAGCCAAATTTCAATTTCCTATGGTCGCATGTGCTTGCAAAATGGCGGGATTGGCGCTTATGAAGCAGTCACTATCCTAATGGAAAAGGATGGTCATTCCACTAGGCCTGGCAACTAGGTCAGGTACAGTCTTGTATCACTTTTTCTGATAAGGGGGGATAGGAAGAAATCTCTTAGCATAATGTATATAGTTGGTCTAGCGATAATTCAATAGATTAGCAGGTTTGCAGCGCTGATCCCTTTCTTTCTTTGCATTTAGTGGCCTAATGTCGTGTCACGCGACATGTTGTACATGTCGAGTCAAGTGCAGTGTGGATGGCTAGCCCCAGAGAGCAAGCGCGGTGTACGACGCGTATGGCAGCTACCTTGGCTCTTGAATGCAAGAGGGAGAGGGAAAGGAAACTGCACATTTTTCAGCCAAGACCCGTCATCCCCACTGTGTGCTCATTCCTGCAAGACTGGCATGGACTCTAATCGACTCTTCTATCATTCTTGGAGACTAGCTCTTCTATGCAGTACATGTATTCTAAACACAGCCATTAGGCAGTCACACGGCGCCGTTTTCCTTTGTACCCTGGACTTGTTCGCCCCAAATCTGCTGGACTAGCTGCTTCTTATTAATCTTACCCATGGCGTTGCGCGGGATGGTGTCTACGACCTTCATCTCCTGGGGAATCTTGTAGTTTACTAGCATTTCCTTGAGCGCTCTCCGCATGTCAAGCGCTGACCACGCCTTGCCTCCCTTGCCAGCAGTCTTGCCTTGGTCGGAGAGGACGACTACAGCGGCGACCTTCTGCCCCCAGGCTTCTGATGGGAGACCGACCACGGCAACCTCGTCGACCTCGGCGAGGGAGAGCATCTCGCGCTCGATTTCGAGAGCAGAAACCTTTTCTCCGCCCGTCTTGATGATGTCGGCTGATTTGCGACCTTGGATGAAATAGAGGGGCCCCTTTGCCCATGGCTGCCCGCTCTTGCCTGCGCCTTCAACGGCCCTGCGGACTGCAACATCGCCCGTCTTGAACCACTTTCCTTGTCCATCAGTATCGTCGGTAAACTCCTTGGAGGTAGCGTCGGGGTTCCTCCAATACTCTCTAAAGATGGTTGGTCCCCGCAGTTGGATCTCGCCCTGTCGCTCACGGCCCGTGGCAGGATCGACCTCATTGCCCACTTCGATAACCTCTCCATTCTCCGTGTCCACAAGCCGGGCTTGTACCGAAGGAAGCGGCCACCCAACCGAGCCATCTACGCGGTCTGCAAAGTCGAGACCACATGAGAGCGCCATGCCGACTTCAGTCATGCCATAGCGCTCCAGCAGCACATTGCCCCCGCTAAGCTCGGTCCATGCCGACTTGACGGGTGTGGGGAGAGCAGCCGAGCCTGAAATATTGAGGCGCATGCTGGACGGGTGAAGAGCCGTCTTTGTTGCGGCTTGCATTTCGGGCGAGAGGCTGGAATGTGAGGCTAGCAGGCGCGTGTATATGGTTGGGACGACGGTGAGAAAGGTAATGGGCTTCTTGGCCGGGTCTGGGTTGGGTAGGAACGGAGCTGCCAGACGGTCCCAGACTGCCGAGGCATTAAAGGGAAATTGGAATTCAATGGTGCTTCCAGCAAACAGAGGCGTGAGCAGCGCATTGACGGTGCCGTGGATGTGGTGGAGGGGTAAAACATGCAGTAGCACGTCGTTGGCGCTGTAATTCCAAGCCTCGAGCAACGACTGCGATTGCGCTGTGAGCACGTCCTGAGGAAGCAGCACGCCCTTGGGCCGGTTTGTCGTCCCCGACGTATACAGCATGATGCCCCCCTCGCGGCTGGTGGGCTCCTCGAGTGTGACATAGTCGTCCGTCTTGCCCATCATAATCTTTTCCTGCTTGTAGTGGATGGGCTTTGTGGCCATGCCCTCGCTGAGTACATCGTCGGCCTGGCCTTGGAACTTTTCCGACGAAAGAAGCATCAGCGACTCGCTCTGGTCGAGAATGTAGCGCAGCTCATGGGCGGGAAAGGCGGGCGACAGCGGCACGGCGATTGAATGGGCGGCGAGGATGGAGAGCAGCGTGACTGGGCATGTGTGAGTCGATGGCCATGCATTCTCTCTACAGACGAGGGCCAGAGGAACGCGCACCTACATAGTCGTAGCCGTTTTCAACCAGAAACGAGATGCGCTGGCCGGCCGGACTGGCGCCGTTGCAATTGCGCTGCAGCTTGTCCTTTGCGGCGGCGACATCGTTGACGAGCTCGCCGTAGGTAAAGGAGCGGCCGGAAAGCGAGTGGACGACGGCGGTGCTGTAGGCATTGTGCTTCTTGATGGCCTCGAAGACGGGCAGGCGGGGGAGCGTCGACGCCATTCTCACCGTCGACAAGCGCGAAGATGCAAAGGGCGGGGGGCAATGGGCGATGCAGGCCGTCAGCGATATTTTGAGTCGGGCTTGGGTGCGCGAGAATAGATTACGCGCCCACATGGCGTAGCGGTAAGGAACCCGTGATCAGCGCAGGAGGATGCAGGTTGCAATGCTTCCGAGGCAAATGCGTGGGTGAAGGGCGGCGGATACGGCCGAATCATGTTGGCACGGCGACGGGCGTGTGCCTCGCCGCGCAGAGAAGGCAATGGGACAGCCAGAAAAATTCTCGCCGTCTGGCGAGAGAGCGTGCGAGGACGGTGAGGGGGTTTGGCAGCAATTCAGCGCGTGCCGCCGCCTCAATTGCTCTCCTGCCCGCCCGTCGGAATCATCATGACGCGCTCCACTAGTGCGAGAAAGCCGTCCGACCCCGCCGCGGCACGTGCTTCGGCCTGAATTCTGGCCCCGACGCCCGCTGCCCGCCTCTCTCCTCCTCCACCCCCACCCTCGACCTATCCCATTGGCTCTACACCACATATCGTCACACAGCTAGGGAACCAAGATTGTGCATGTTCACCCGCCACGCCCGCCTCGCAGGAAGGCGCTTCATGTCCGCCATGGCCCAATCCATGACTCCAATGGAAGATGCTCTGCGCACAAAGGTGCCACATCTACTCTGCCCCGGCATTGCATAGACCCCGACTAACCACCCCCTAGATCACCGAGGCCCTGAAGCCTGCGAGTCTCGAAATCTTCAATGACTCCCACAAGCACGCGCACCACAAGGCCATGCAGGGAGTGACCAGCAGGGAGACTCACTTCCGGTAACAGCCAAGCACTCCAACAGCCCGTCCCTATATCCCCTACTAACCGCCTCAGCGTCTACATCACCTCCTCCGCCTTCCAGGGAAAGATGCAACTTGCACGGCACCGCATGGTCAACTCGCTGATGAAAGACGAGCTGGCAAAAGAAGGCGGTATCCACGCCCTCCAGCTCACTACCCGCACGCCAGAAGAGGACGAGGCCAGACAGCAAAGCGAAGCCGCAAAATCATAACTCCATTTCATTTTTGCTACAGTTTCAGATACCCAAGCGAGTGTGAGGTCAAGATAAAACAATCAGACATCGACACATGGCAGGCCTGCCCATAACGAATCATCCCCACTCGCCGTGCCCTGCGGTTCACGGGCCCTTTTTACTTGTTCCCATGTCCATCTAGGGATGGTTCCTACCGTCACACGGGCCATTGTGCCTCGCGCAGCTGTGTTGATAGCCATGGTCCCTGCAACCTCCGTCCCTACTGCACCAGTACATATGGTTGTCTTCACGTCCAGAGAGGACCACATAGCCGCCCCAGTTGTTATTCCCATGCTCATTCCTATAATGGCAGTAACCGCAGTAGTAGCCTAGAAACAATTAGCCGTGGCGCTGGTGTAACATGGAGCACCCACCTGGGTTATTGACTCTGTGGCACCTGCAGTCCGGCCTGTTGGGCCTGTCAAGATTGTCAGGCTCAGCGGCGGGAGCGGCATCGCGCTCCACGTTCTCAACCGCATCGGCGGGCGCGGGCTCGGGAAGAGCCAAGGCGCTGCCAGCGACGACGAGGGCAGTGATGAGAGTCTTGATGGGAAGCATGTTGCAGGTTGATGTATGTATGTAGGCTTTGCTCGGTTCAATGTGAGTTGAAAAGGCTTGCACGAAGCAGTCTCCAGACGCCTTTCTCGGCCCATTTTATATCTCTCCCAGCGTTGCTTTTGGCCATGTTCCAGCGTCAACCCCCCTCTTTGCTCGCAGCAGCCCATGGTTCACCAGCGGGGTGCATCATGTTTGCGACTTCAGCTCTGAAGACTATACAATCGAATACGAGGTGGTTTAGGTCGCTCGGGGCTATACGACCAGTCAAGACTGAGCACTGGTTGGGATAGAAATCCGAATATAGAAAAGAGGGCCGACTCGCCCCGCACCTGGCTACATTGTGCATGGAGAAGTGGTTGTATGGCGTTCGGAATATCAACATGATGGTTGAATATATCTAGCGCACCAAACATGGCGACACTGGGCTGAATGCGAAGAATGCGAGTCTTGTAGATGAGCAACATGAACTGTATACATTGGATACAATACACCTAGCCTCCGCGGCTTTCCATTTTCCAAGTCGAGCAACAAAGTCTGACTGGCTCCACAAAGCTAGCCTCGATACCATTCCCCAACAACCTCAGCATTCTGCTTACCACGTTAGATCTTGTCACCACCCTTGAACTTGAACTTCTTCAAGCCCCGCACACCAACGTTGATTAGGAAGCAGTAGCCCGCATTCTCGTCTACAGGCCCGCCGTTCTCGCCGCTCGTGCCACCAGCACTGGTAATGAAGAGACTGTCGCCGACAAAGCAAGGGCAGGTAACCTGACTGGTCGGGACTTTGATCTCGGCAACAACTTCGCCCTGGGGTGAGATTCGGAGCACGCGAGAGCCTCCGTGCAGGGCCGTCCACATGTAGCCCTCCTCGTCCAGGCAGTGGCCGTCTGGCACGGCGTTTGGGCCGTAGCGCTTGTCCTCGGGCATGGTGAAGTAGGGACGCTTGTTGCTGATGGCGCCCGTGGCCGGGTCAAAGTCATACTGGAAAATAGTCTTTGTCGGGCTGTCGCAAAAGTACATGGTGTCGTCCTGCTTGTTCCAAGCAGTACCATTGGGAATCATAATGTCGTCCATGGGGCGATCGAGGCTCAGGTCGGCGTTCAGCCGGAACACGGCGCCATCTTTCCTCAACTCGGACAGCAAGGGATCAAACATGAAGCCCACCCAAAAGCGGCCTTGGGAGTCGACGGCGCCATCGTTGCCTCGCATCATCTCGTGCTTTTTGGCGCTGATTTCCTCCTCAGACCACACCTTTTGGAGCCAGCGGTACTCGCCAGTCTGCTTGTCGGCTACGCCAAAGCCATACTTGCCGCCAAAGACAAACTCCTTGTCGTTGCCCTCAATGTCTGCTGTGACGCCCATGGAGATGTCAAAGTCCTTGATCACCTTGAAGCTCGACGGGCCCTTTTCCAAGTCCACACGCATCACCTTTTGCTGCTCGACATCGAGGAAGCGAACCGAATTTGTGTCCTCCTCCCAGAAGGGGCCTTCGCCCAGTGAGCAGCGTTCCTTGAGCCATGGCTGCGACATGGTCAGTTGCTGAAGTTTGGCTCGGAAACAAAAGTAAATATAGCGTTCATGGCGTATATGGCGTCGATGGCGTGGCCTCTAGGTAGACGTCCACCTAAATATTAAACTTTTTCTTTTCCTCGTGTTGCGTCGCGAGACTGACAATGCGGCTACATGGCCTCAGCGGGGTAGACGTTACCCAAGCTTGCTACCCCTCCTTCGCACAGCAACGCTGGCGCAACAAGACCAACGCACAAGCAGACATGGTACATACCTCTGTGATTTCGTATGTTTTGATAGCAGACATGGCTGGAGAAGAGGGGGGAGGGGTGGAGTGGAATGCTGGAGACAGGAAGGTGGAGCTGCTTTCCACGACCTTTTTGTTGTTGGGTTGGCAGCCCCGGCGGCCTTGTTGTAAGTAGACGTTGCAGATTAGAGTTTCCCGACGTGCCCCGTCCAGGCGGCTCTGATGGAGGAAACCCACAAATTTGCGTAATGACGTCCCGATGAGCCGCCGCCGAGGCTAGGATGATGCTTCTCTTGTGTGTTTTTGGCTTTCCTGTTTCGTTCAAGTCACACCGAGCATGCTCGTGTTGGGGGGGGAGCGACTGATGCACAATCACACTCGACAAGATGAATGTCTGGCCCGCGTCCCGCAATAAAGGATATCCCTGGACTCCATGCGAAATCCTGCTGCAGTGGGATAAATACCCTAGAAGGCGTGTAGATGGGATTCAAGGTGGGTTTCTTTATTTGGACCACCCAAAGTACACATGGCTACACAACTATATGTGCACAGAAACCTTTTTTTTGGTCTACCATTAAAAAGCGATGCTGTCATTCAAGCGGACCGTTATCGCATTGCTCAGTCAACTACCCCCCCCAAAAAAAAGATAATGTACCCAGGCCGTCCCGAGTATTCATTGGCCCAGCACACATTTCCATATGAGCCGTTTCTGGCAAAAAAAAAGTGACTAACCCCCCAAGTCCAGTCGTCTAGCGAGCGGCATCTGCTGCTGGAGGAATATATACAACTTTGCACCAGGCCGACGACGATAAGAAGGGCACGGGAGGCGGGATGGTACGCGCGGGCGTTTCGTCCCGGCTAACCGGACCGGCGACGCCAGTCGAATCTAGGCCTGTGTGCGGGTGGTGGTGATTGTTGTTCCGGCTGAAAGACTGAAAGACGGCTAATTTGGGAATATAGGCGGCAGTTGAGTTGTGAGTGGAGATTTTTGGTCTTTGTGTTTGGAACGGTGTTGTTGCTGATGATGATGATGGTGATGATGGGGGTGCCGGCTCTAGGGAGATGGTACATAAAAGTGGGTGGAGTTGTTGCGAGAGTGGTGGATTAATTGGGGTTACTTACGTTGGAAGGATATCAGCTTGTTGTGCTGCTGGTCTGGGTACGTTGAGAATTTCCAAGTCTATCAAATCTGTTCATTTATTGGAATTATTTTTTTTGTCTTTTTGATAGGTGGCATTTTCGCATCCAATCGGTGTTATCAAAGCTATTCATGTATTCAACAACAACGACACACCGGCAGGCGCCAAAAAAAAACAATGAATACTCGATTATTCTAGTTTAGAACAGCATTCGTCCACGCTGATTGAGTAACAGATAGGTGGGTATATCGGCAAACGGAACAAATGCGACCTTGATATTCTCATCCGCGACCAAGCATACAGCAATGCCATCACTGCATGATACAACATCAGGAAACCACTTCTTCACCTACATTCCTTGCACTGCATGAAACGACATGAAACAACCCCTCTATTCTAGTTGCATTTTGTTCGAGGTTGTGCATGTATATACAGCCTTTGGTATTACCTAGAAAATGTGAGGTAAAATTGGTATTCCCATCTATACAGCAGCAGCATAAAGCTACTTAGTATGAGAGCTACACATGACTCCATGTCGTGACGTCTGCCCATGGCTTCTAGTAGCTGCTCTAGCGACTCGCGGTGCAACTACGAAAGTATGGGTTATGCTCCTGGGATGGAAATGATTGAGCTTAAAGACTTGTTTCTGCTGGTAAAGCTATACCTGACTGTAGGAGTATTGAGCGGCAGCGATGAGACGTGTCTAGTGGTGATGCATGCCGTTTTGCATTTCCAGTCTAGTGTTTAGATTGATAGGTAGTAGTAGTAGTAGTAGTAGTAGTAGTAGTAGTAGTAGTAGTAGTCGTCTTGTTACATGTTCCTACTCAAGTCCAAGTGATATTTGTATGCTGAGTGATTTCAACGTCGTGATGCGTTGGATTTCACAACGCAGTAGAATAGACGTGAGTATATCTAACTAGATGATACTTTGACAACTACACCAAGCTACTACTACTACTACTACTACTACTACTACTTTGAGTTTCCTCACATGATGGGTGGTAATTATTGCTACTTTTCTTGTATGTACGTTGTTTGGAGATTTTGCAGGACCTGAGCGGACAATGTATAGTTAGCTTTGATAGTCCACCGTGTTATGTTGTTAGCGAATATCAAAAATACTTCTTTGTTATTTAAATATGAGGTACTGGTTAGACCATCTTTCCTACATCTTTGTATATTGAATCCTGTTTCGTTGTGTGATGGGCTGCTTCAGCTTGGACTCAGTCAGTTAGTCGTATTCACGTCTTGCAGGCCATATAGCAACATGATATAACATCATATAGCCTGCAGAGATATTCTTAAAGAGAGGTATTGTAGGGCATATGTTTCATGGACAAATCAATGACCAATACTCTCCTGTTCGTCAGTGACGGATATGGTTTGCATGACACTTCTTAGGGGCCAAATGAATATGCTGAAATAGACGGAATACATCATTGTCAAAGAGGAAAAAACACAATTTTCATAATTCTTGGGCTATATATACTGCAGCAATCATTGACAGCAAATGGAGCCATATACATGGGATACGCTCACTGACATGCAGAATCCCAGTCCTTGCCGTTTACATTAACTAGAATACTTTCATTTAGATAGAGCGGCGAACCGGCGTCTTTGTATCCAGCTTAACGCGAACATAGCAAGACGTAAACTATTCTTTTTTGGTACATGACTAAAAAACCATGTCCCGTGAAGCTTTTGAAATGCATTTCAGCAGCCCAAATCAGATGCATCAAGGAGCGAAGTATTGCTCATAACTAACGTCGTCTCAAGTTCCCCAAGTGTACTCGTACAAAGCCCAATAAATATACAATAAAGGCGGTATTTCTGGAATGGGTCCAGACTGCGGGCGCGTTTCTCTGCGCCAATTTTCTTAGTAGACGCCGTGTCTACTGTGCATAGAGCTTGATCTTGTCATGTCGTGGTCCTTTGTTATTTGCCCCAGGTCTGGTCTTTTAGTTCCTTGGTCTTCTCCGCAACCATGTCAGTGACGCCCTTGGCCTCGTCGGCGGCGCCTCGAGCCCTCTTGGCCATCCTCTCCTTCCACGCCTTGTCCTCCTCATCACGCATCTCCAACTCCCTGAGCCAGCGATCCCTCTTGTCCATGCGCTCCTTGTCGGCGACCTTTGCTTCGTACTCCTTTCGCTTGACGCGGTCTTTTTGCCAGTACATGTTTCCGGCGACGAGCACGGCAATGGTGAATGCTTGGGCGTAGAGACGGCGGCGGAAGTAGAGATTGGTCATTTTATGGTCGCCCTTGCGCATGGAGCGGGTTGCGCCGACAATGGCCCAGACGGTGAGGCCGCAGCCGAGGGGCACGAGGGGCTCTTCGCGCAGACGGCGCCATATCTTGTCCATGGTGTTTTCATTGTAGAAGTCGCTGGTAGGGATGTTAGTACATGCAGCCAATTGGCCGTTGGGCATTGTTACTCACGCATTTTCGTCAAAGGAAGAGGGGAGGGGCGCGCTGTTGGGGGGTCCCAGGGACATGGTGGGCGCGGAATGTGGAATGCGGAGTGCGGAATGCGGAGGTGGCGGAGGTGTGGCGGGGTTGCTCGAGGCAGCTGGCAGCGTCTCTGGGTGAGAAGTTGTAGTCGGGGCACAGCAATAGTGTTGTATGTGCAAACTGAAGCTCTGCACCGATTTAGAAGCGCAGTGTCGTGCTGGCGAGCGAGTGGGCGACGGGTGCAAGATGCGGAGCAATGGATTATCTCACCACTCGCAACCGGCCATCGGGGCTTGTGATGTTCCAGCCCCGATGCGGCGGCGTCTGCGCGTGCACCTGCGCCGGCTCGTCCATGGCCAGAAAGCCTCGCTCGGTCGCAAAAGGCAGGCTGAGCATCTCCTGTCGCGCCCCCACCCACTGGCCGCCTTCGATGAGAGCCGGAGCAACACGCCCAACCCCCTCGCTGCGCCATGAACGATGAGGCCGAGTCGTCGCGCGCCCGGCGGCGGCATGACGACGGCGCACCCGCACCCACCCCCGACGACGACGACGACGACGTGGGCGCGCTGGAAGAGGCCATGGCCCGGCTCGAGGCGGCGGCAGAGCGCGGAAGAGAAAAGCAGCGGCAGCAGCGGCGCGTGGATGCGAAGAGGAAGCGCATCCAGATGCTGGGCGAGCTGCTGCGCGAGCTGGACATGGTCGTCTACCTGGAGCTCATCACGCTCTACCACCTCGAGTAGGCCGCCGATAGCATGGAATCCGTCGAACGTGCGGCACTGCTGACACGCGCGCTGTAGCTGCTCCTTCTTCTGGCTCGCCTTCAAGGCCTTTATCCACGGCACGCTGCTCACGCCCATGCCCGACACGGCCACGGCCATGCGCCCGCCCGACGAGCCCAAGCCGTTTCTGCCGCTGCTGCTCTTCTCGTTTGGCGTCAGCCTGGCGCTGCATCTCTCGTACCCGGCGCCGGCGGCCGGCGAGGACACGCGCGGCTATCTCCACGGCGGCCTGATGATCGACTTCATCGGCCAGCAGGGCCCCACGAGCAAGTGGAAGCTGGGCGCGCTCGACGTGTGCATCCTGCTGCTGCAGCTCGTCATGGTGTCGGTGCACGTCAAGCGGCGCGAGCTGAAGAAGAAGCTGGCCCGGCTGGCGGCGGCGGGCGGGGCGGCGGCGGCAACGGCTGCGGCGGCGGCAACGGCAACGGCAACGGCAACGGCAGGCGGCGAGGCGGACGGCGAGCAGGATGCCGACGACGAGGAGCGAGGCGTGCTTCACCGAACCGACACGCTGTCAGATCTGGGCACTGAGCCCGCCGACGACGAGGATACCCTGCTCGCGCCGTCCGAGGCCGGGCATGCTGACGCCATGGAGGTGCTAAGCTCTGGGCAGTGTGTGATTGGCGACTTCACCCTCATCGACACGCTGCTGCACGAGAACAGGAACTACTCTGCTTACCGGTTGACGCGCACCGAAGCCGGCATGAACGACATGCCCGAGACACTGCGGAGGCTCAACACCCTGCGCACCCGCTTCGGTGTGGGTCGCGCCTAGCACAGGCACCACCACCACCACCACAGCGTAAGCGGCCAAGCACGCCGCCGTCTTATCATGGGCCTTGTGCGACCTTGCAACGTCCTGTGCAGCAGTTCGCGACCATGCTCCGTCTATACTACACCCATTACTGCCTGTAATGGCCCCCCGCGGAGCCCACGCGCACACCCCTCCTCGGGTCGCCTGTCCTGCCCTGTCCTGCCCTGTTCTCTTCCCCCCACGTCGCCATGATGTTACAGCCAGGACCGCATCTTATAACCCCCTAGGCCGCCTGTCTATGTGGGTGTGGGTGTGGGTGTGTGGGTGTGACGAATGGCGAACTGTGCAACCTGTTCCGCGCGCCAGGTCGATTGTGTGCAGCCGAGTACAGTATATGTGACGCAGACAAGGCAGCCAAATTACAACATTATGATGAATACATTTTCTCAAACATGCCCCATGGATTGTGGAGAATAGGCAAGACGTGGGGGTGCCATGAGGCATATGCACACCGATAAACGGGAGACATGGACTTTCTCGGCTTTCCCTTTCTCTCTCTCTCTCTCTCTGCCTTGCCATTGATTGCTCTGTCAAAACGGCATGCCGTAGTCGTAGTCGTTGCCGTAGCCGCTACCGATGCTCTACCGATGCTCTACCGATGCTCTTCCTCACCGACCACATACACATACGTACATACACACACACACACACATACATCCCGCGTGCATGTCCTGGGCCGCGATTTTCCGCGTCTCGCCAATCTGCGCCTGCAAACCCACCCACCCACCTGCCTGCCTGCCTGCCTGCCTGCCTGCCTGCACTCTGTGCTGCGCGTGCTAAAAAAAATAAAAAAAAATAAACTCTTACACATATATATGTATTGAGCTGGTATGTTTTTTCTTTCCTTCTTTCTTTCTGGGGTGGATGCGTGCGTGCGTGAGTGGGTAGGTGGGTAGGTGGGTGAGTAGGTGGGTGAGTAGGTAGGTAGGTAGGTAGGTAAGGGGGAAGGGGGTGTGGCCGCTGTCCGGCACATGGTAAGCCGGCGTGCCGATATGCGCGGCATGCAAGATCTGACTGGGGTATGTATGTATGTATGTATGTATGTGTGTGTATGTGTGTGTGTGTGCACCTAGTGTGGGTTGCGTAAAGCATGTATGTGCGTATATGTATGTACGTATGTAGGGTGTACAGACATACATACACACATACGTACATACGTACATACACACATACGTACATACGTACATATGACCAGGCTGGGGCTCTCCTGCAAGTGCGACGTTGCTTAGGCAGCGGTGGCGTGAGTGTGAGTGTGAGTGTGTTGTGCGCAGGCCACTGTCTTTCTCTCCTCCTCTTTTTTTTAGTGTGTGTGTGTGTGTGCCATGTACGTAAGTATGTAACTGCATAACCGGGCTTTGATCGCCTTTTTGGGTGAGGATGCGTTGCCGCCGCCGCCGCCACCGCCGCCACCGACGCTGGCACTGGCACTGGCACTGGTAAGTAGTGGGGGGGAAGGGAGGGGGAAGACTCAATGTCGACTTTGTGTGTTTGTGTTTTGTGCTTGTTGCGCGCATAGCGGATAGCGGATAGCGGATACTACGGGATCAAAGACACTTATCACACACCACATAGACTGCACATACTGCACACATACACATACACATACATACACATACAGTCGCAGTGTCCTGTCGTGTGGCGTCCCCCGCCTCTCCCTACCTAGTTAATTATAACAGAAGCCCTTATACATACACACACACATACATACATACACATACATATCCACATACGTACAAAGTGTTACACCGCCTATCGCGGCACCAAGGCTTGCATCTACGTATCTATGTATGTACTTGGACTGTGTACACATACACTACCACTATATTGCACACACACACACACACACACAACGCATGCAAGTGGATATGAACATGGATAGCTTGATGCTTGTTTCTACACCTACACGTACGTGTAGGCATATGTAGGGGGCTGTAGGGGATGCTGGTGGTGCTGGTGCTGGTAGACAGGGTGGATAGTAGGCACAGGCACAGGCACAGGCGAGGGAGGCATGTACACGTTGCGTGTACACCTAGTGCTGGTATGTATGTAGTGCAACCCACTTTAATTTCCACATGGCGAGCATGGATGCTGCGAGGGCCATGTATGTATGTATGTATGCATCTGATCTGTGTACTGTACATGTACGAGCGTGTGTGTATCGAGTTCTAGAAAGAAGAGGAAAAAAGAAAAGAAAAGAGACGAGACGAGACGAGACGAGAAAAACTACCAAGTAGAACAAGTCGAGACACGGCGACATGGAGCGCAAAGGGTGCACCGAGACCCCGAGACAGAAAAAAAAAGGACATGTGGAATGAGAAAATGCCAGAAGAGAGAGAGAGACACACACACACACACACACACAAAAAAAAGAAAGAGAGAAAAAAGAAAAGAAAAAGGGCGCATGCTATCACCGTTCCAGAGCTGCTTGCATGCCGTCCTTGTTGGGGTTCTTCTCGTATCACTATCGCATCGTACCATATTGTCGCGAGGTACATGGCCAAAAGTTCGCGCGTGTCGTGCTTCAGTTGAATAATCATGCCCATGTTGATGTCGCCGCTGCTGTCGCCATTTTAGCTGCGATTCGCGCAAGCCGCGCTGCGCTGCGCTGCGCTGGAAACTTGTTGCTATGTATGGAACCCACCCACTTACACGTATGTACCTTACTATGTATGTGTGCCTGGGTCCCAAAGAGAGAGCGTGAGAGAGTCATGCTAGACTCCATCTTGTGCATGGCATCTTAGGCCTAAGGCGAAAGGGGGGGGGGCGGAGATGCAAGGCAGGGCAAAGCAGGGCAAGACAGCAGATTTTTTTTTGGAGGGGCTGGCCGTCGCATCAGGCGGCATTGCCGCAAAATACTCCCTCTCTTGTACACACACACACAGACAACCCCGTCAAAGTGCAAAAGTGTGTCGCATTTCCGCTCCATTGCATGTAACCCTCATCCGCGATGCAGTAGCAAGCACACACCCTGCGTAACCCTGTTTCTTCCTTTCTTTCTTTCTTTTTTTTTTTGCCCTGCTTTGTCTCGCTTACCTAATTCTCCTGGATGCATCCTCATGCCTTGACGAAGGATTTATTTTTTTTTTTGCAAAAAAAAAAATCACCTCATATATGTCGCTCTTGTATACCGTTGCAAGCAGACGTGTTATCGAGAAAAAAAAATACAGCTGAAAAGTAATGCAGAACAAAGTGTGGGTTTGTGCTACCAGTTCGTCATGCGTCACCAGACACCCTTAGGCGGAGAGGCGGGGGGGGGCTGAGGCTTGGAACAAGAAAAAAGAAAGGCAGAGATGACGAGCAGCAAGGCAAGGCAAGGCAGAGGGCGGGCGCAGCGAGCCGTCGGTCAGCGGGCGGATCGGAACGTCCAACAGTCGACCGAAACCTTAGCATGGTCTTTTTTATTTTTTTGTTTTCTTGTTTTTCATGCCTCTCGCTCGCTTGGCCTGCACTGTTTGTTTCTTCCCGTCTTTTCCCGTGTTCCCCCCTCCACTCCTTTTCCCGCGCTGCCCCCCCTCTCCATGATTAGTAGACAGATGGAGATGAAATAAAGTTCACACGCACACACAGGTGTACAGAACAATAAGAGAGATGCACGGCCTGCTTAGCCTGCCTATGATGTCCGTTTGCTGTCGGTCGCAGCTGAACAACATTGCCGCGCCAGGCATACCGAGGCCCATGGAGTCATTGCGTGTGCGTGTGGGGAGGTGAACCATTGGTGGACGGGCTGCCGAGTCAGGCTGGGAAATCATTTGTGCCATGTGTCGTAGCTGCATGCCATTGGCTGGCCCTGCACATGTGAGCCTGTGTGTGAGATTGCAGATGAGGGCAAGAGTGTAGTGGTGGCGGTGGTGTGTGCGAGTGAGATGATGGGACATGCAGATGATTCGCAGCGCGCCTATCCGGTCAACCGTGTTCCGCGTTCCTTCGGCAGCAGCTTGTCCCCCCCCCCTCCCCCTTCCTCCTCTCCTGTGCCAATGAGCATGCCCGTCACATGATCAGATCGCCAATGCGGGTCCTCTCCATCATCGTCGCAGTGGGGACGACGTGCTGACATGCATGAGAGACTTGTGTTGTGCTGCATGGCTTGCATGGTTGGGCTTCAAGATATGCATACTCTAGACAGGGG